GAACTTGTTACGCGCGGGTTGGGTGTGGGGGGGGGGTGTGTTACTGCCTATGTATTTGTTGTGGATATATGCAGGATGTGTTTATTCCTATGGATGGGAAAAACAGTAAGAGGCTACTTAGGACAACACTTAAACATAAATTTAGGACTCAAGTATATGCTTAAAGGTAAAAATGCATGTAAATATTTTTCTGAATCAGGGCCTAATAAACATGGAAAGGGTAGTTACAGTAGTCTTTACGTTAACATATTGTTAGTCATTGTGCTCAGCAGAATGATCCATCTCTCAGTATTCTTAAAAGGAAACCCCTAGTGACCGCCTGCTGTATTACTGTCGGCAGTGCCATAGGTAGGGTGAAGAGGCTGCGTACTGAACGAGTCTGAACAATCGCTCTGAAAGAAGATCACTTGTAAGTAATTGTATCTGAAAATGTCTACTCACTTTATTCATTAACCTGAAATGAAGGGGGATGATTTCCCTGGTGATAATTGTCAAATACGAAAGTTAAAAAAAAATATATATACCTGGTGTTTTTTGAAAGACTTTTTCTGAGTGTGATTTGGGATGTTTAGGTATCACTTTTGAGTAGTTTGCGCTTTAGCAAAATATCTGCTTGAGATTTGAGCAAAAAATTTGATGTGACATTTCCCCAACTGTGCAGCAGTTTGTTACTTCTCTGTACATAAACTCAGAACTAATACAGGTTGTGAGGTGAGTGTACTGCGGACTGTAGGAGTATGATATTAACTCTAGCCTTCCCCCATAATACAACTTCATTTCTGCTGGGTGATGCAACAGTGAGTTAATACGATGTGAAATTGTTTGAAGTAATTTTATGTTTTGAGTAACAGCCACAGTACTGCAAAAACAACTGCCGGTGTGCAAAAAGGGGGTCTAACTTTCCGTTAGCCAAAAGTCTGGTTTATTTTTTCTCTATGCACGTGGCTAAAATTGGTTTAGTGTATTGATAGAACTGTGTGAATGCGATGTGAGGTATTACCAGGACTGAGCTGCTATGAGTGAATAGCCTTCTCGTTCTGTCACCGAATATATTGTAATTGCTGATGAGTTTAATCAGCAGGCATTTTCCTAGAATGCAAGAATTAGAGTTCATCAATGTTTTGTTGATTGGATTTTAACTGGAAAACAATAATCAGTTGATAGGAATCTTCTCTCACTTCAACTCATGGCATTCAAAAGCATAAGCAGCCTCAGCAAAACAAATGAAATTAGCAAATCAGGCCTTCAGTCTCAAAGTGGGTTTTTTATTACAGTAATCCAAGTTGCTATTGAAGCGTAACCCTTGTCTCCTGCCTCAAGTACTTTACAAACATAATTGTGAGGCCATGTGGCTTTGTAAAATGTTTTTCAACAGGAATTTAAAGGTCTATGTGCGTTCAGCAGAAATTTATCTTCAAGCTGAAGAGTGCATGTGGCTGTTTCTAACAGTTTATGGGACAAAACCACCCCAGCAGCCTATTAAAACTCCAGTGTCGGATATTTTCTAAGTTGAATGACTTTCTAGAAGTTTGACTTCTGCTTTTCACCTGTCTGAAAGCTTTTTGTTTAAACTGTAGAAAATGCTCAGGACGCTGTTCACGCCGTTCTAGGCTAGCGTGGTTCTCGTAGGACCTCTAGGGCTCAGACATAGGAACCTGCCGCACAATGAATAACCTCTTGCCCCGTGGTATCGGCCGCCGCAGGCAGCTCTCTGCGCACGTGCTTTTCGCTCGCCGTACGTAAAAGGTCGGTAGGTGGCTTGCACGTACGACGGCCTCTCTTGGCTGGCGTCAGCCCGCCGTCCCCGACGGGCGAGGCGCTCCGCTGCGAGCTGGGTGGCTGCTGCCTGGTTTGCCGGTTGTACGTGTTCGTGCGCGAGCCGCTGCTCTCTCTAAACACTTTTATATTGCCTTGTTCACTACAGGAGGGGCTGTTTTTAAATTAGTATTAAAAGACCAGTGTAGGCAGTATGTCGTATTTTGTACATACCAGGAGTGTTGCTCAGTCTGAGGAAGTCACAGTAAATACCACAGACAGCTGTGTTTGTGTGCTAGGGAAGTGCTAGAAATGATACGTCTTCTTTTAAAGGACTGCCCGTGTTCAGCTTTTTTGTTCCCATCCCTCTCTTTCTTTTAAAAGCTATAGCTGAGAAAATTCTTCCCTGGTTTTTAATTTTTTTTTTTTTTTTTTTTTTTTTTTGGTAAGGGGAGGAATAAGATGGTCCCTCATAAGTAATTATCATTCATATGAGGCACTGATGTTAGAGCAGTGCGTATTTGTTTCTCTAGGGCAGTGGACAGTTCTACTGTGCACTGGAAGCAGTCAGGAACAAAAAGGATTATGTTTATTTTGAGAATGAGTGGGAAAGGGAAAATTGCCTATTAAGGGGAAAAAAAAAAAAAAAAGGCTTGAGTGTAGCCAGCACAAGAGGGAAGATGATTAATGCATGAATGCTGTTCATAGGTTCCTTCTGTGGAAGTCAGTGTCTTGAAAACAAAAACACAAAATGACAAGGGGGAATAAGGCTTTCTGATATTAAGTGGCTGCTGATTAAAAGAAGTGTTATCGCTCTGGGGCTGTTTTTAAGGGAGCAGATGCTGGCTTTTAGCTCTAGGGTACTTCTGAAAATACAGAAGGACAAAGTTGTGATAAGACGAAAGTATTTACATGTCAACTATCTCCAGATAATGGTGATGCATTTCCTGATGTGACTTTAGAAAATGAAGCGCTGGTAACACACTGAGTGTTAATGGTGCAAGTGATGTACAAGGAAGCTGAATTCGCCTTTTTATTTATTAGTGGGTGTCTGTAGTGCAATAATGTTCTATAACTGAACATTGAAATAAATGTCTTGTTAGTTTGTAAACCCCGAGATGTGCATGAAGCATCGTTACAATAATTGGCCTACATGTAGATGCAAACTTTCTCTGTTGAATTCTCTCTTTCAGTTTTAATAAACTAGTTTCCAGCTTGTTTTAAAATGAAGGTGGGGGGGAGCGTATTTTACTCGATTCATGCTTAATACTGATGTATTAATAAATCAGTATTGAAACAGATTCAAAGTGAATTATAAAGTTAAGAGCTCAAACTTGTGACATATGCAGAAAATATGTCAGCTTAAACTTTTTTTAAAAAAAATAAAGCTTGTTATCGTTTCAGTTTTCAGACCAGTGTTTGGAATAAAGAATTATTCTTCTGTTTAGGACTGTGATTTGTAGGAGCTTTGCTGGAAACTAGCCAGTATAGCATAGCAGGTTAGTTGTATTTAAAAGTGCCTTATTGTAAGGTATTGTTTGTTTGCTCTGTAATACACACTTTGATCCATAAAATAATGAAAAAATAAATGGGAGAATTAATTTTTTTTTTGCCCTCAGCAAATCTCAAAGTAGCAGTTTTACGTTTTAAGAAGGATAAGTTAAAGCTAGCCAGAGATTTATCAAATGTTTCAAATTATAAAATGTCTTTATATAAACTCATAATTCTAAAAAGCAAGAACTGTTTTTTCTAGAACTGTGGGAATTATTTTATGGTATTTTTCACAATAAAGATATTTATGATGCCAAGAAAGCACTGCAGTGTATTTGTCTGCCCTTCCTTCCTCATCCTGCTCTCCCAAGTCTGAAGTTGTGCAGAAATGCAGTACAAGGCTGCCAAAACGCCGGCTTGGGGGCTAAATTAAAATTCTGTAAGCAGCCAATGCACAAGTTGTCAGGCTTTAACAAGCAAGGTGCAGAGGGTTTGGATACTTCACGCTTAGGTTTCAAACCTTGGTTTCCCTCCTGTTAGGCCGGACACGGGTAGCGTCTGCCTGTGGCTGCAGCCCCCTCTCCCTGCAGCTGAGCAGGTAGCCGGGGTGCGGCGACACGCGTTGTGTTGCAGGTAGGAGGGCAAGGTTTGACCAACTGTCCTGGAGCCGTACCCGGCTGCGTTCCGGGGCGCTGGGGGCAGAGTCGAATCTGGGGCAGTCTTTCTGGGTCGCAGCCTGCCCCAGGAAAGCCTCTGGCCCCTCGGCTGTGGTTGGCATGAGGGGAGAGGAGGAATCCCCTCTGCCCTCTTGCCTGAGGCTGGAACCGGGGAGAGAAGGTGGGTGGCTGAGGGCACAGGGGAGGTGTAAGGTGAGTGTGTACTCTAGGCGTGATTTCTAGGCAATGACAAAAACCCACCTTTTAAGACAGTAAAGTGATTTTGTTCGTTTGTTTATTATTTTCTTTTCAATCCAGTAAATGTTCTAATGGGGCTGGCAAAAGTACCAGAACTTGGAAGGCAGGTGAGAAGTTGTTGAGCCTGCAGGAGTTACTTAAGCAGCAGCTCTTTCAGCTAGGCTTCACCGCCAGCTGAGGAGGAGAAGAGGCAGTGCTGCTCTGCAAGGGCAGAGTCTGGAGGAGGCTGGAGCAGAAGCTGCATCATGGGCCTCTGAGCAGACTGGGCCCTCAAAATACTCCAGCAGAGCTTGAACTCCATCAGTGACTTCACTGAAGAAAGCATCAATTCATACACACAGAGAACTCGCATGACTGGAGGATCGTGATGGATGGCTATAGGGTGTTTTGTAAAGACAGGCAGGGAAGAAGAGGAGGAGGAGGAGGAGTTGTGCTCTATGTTAAGGGGAACCTTGAATCTATAGAAGTCAACTACGGTGATTGTGGAAGCCCTATCGAATGCCTCTGGGTCAAGGTCAGAGGGCTTATCTCCAAGGGGGATCTTACAGTAGGCATCTGCTACTGACCTCCAAACCAAGATGATAAAGCCAACAAAGCCATATTTGGGTCACTTGAGCAAGCTTTGAGTCAATAAAACCTGGTTCTTATGGGTGATTTCAACTACCCAGACATTTGTTGGAGGAACAATACCGCAGCTCAGATGTCGCCCATCCGGTTCCTGGAATAGGTGGAGGACTGCTTCCTCATACAAGTGTTAGATGTGCCAACCAGGAATGAGGCACTGCTGGACTTGCTACCGACAAACCAAGAAAACCTGCTTTGTAGTATGTTGGTTAGCAATAGCCTTGGCTGCAGTGATGGCAGTATTGTGGAGCTTGGGCTCCTGCTGAGCATGCTGAAAGTTAGTGTAAGACAAAGGTTTTAGATTTTTAGAAGAGCAAACTTCAGCTCGCTCAGAGCTCAATTGGGCAGGATGCCATGGGAAGCTTCCATGGAGGATAAAGGAGCTAGTGAGTGCTGGCAGTTTTTCCAGAATGCTCTCCTGGAAGCACAAAAAGAGTTCATCCCCCTTAAAGGTGAGGGAAGTAGGTGAAGGAAGAGGCGCCCTTGGCTTAATTGTGAGCTTGAGACTGCTCAAAAGAGAACGTACCAGAGATGCAAAAGCGGACGAACACCCATTAAGGACTACAAGGGTGGTGCCAGGGTCTGCAGAGATGCAGTTAAAAAAGCAAAAGCTGAGCCTGAATTGAAATTGGCCAGAGCTGTGAAAAACTACAAGAAAGGGTTCTTTGGGTATGTAAACAACAAGCAGAAACAGAAGGAAGATATTGGCCCCCTGTTAAATGGGAGAGGTGCATTAGTCACCAACGATGCTGAAAAGGCAGAGGTTCTCAATGCTTTCTTCACCTCTGTCTTCAACAGCACTGCTGGGCCCCAGGCCTTGGGAACAAAAATCCAGGGTGATCAAACACAGAGCCACTGTTGGTGAAGGAAGAGTTTGTGTGTGAACCATTACAGGAGCTTGACCCCTACAAATCGCTGGGCCCTGATGTTATTCCCCCCGAGGGTGTTAAGAGAGCTGGCTGATGCCGTTGCGAGGCTGCGCTCTCCACAATCTTTGAGAAGTCGTGGAGATCGGGGGATGTCCCAGAAGACTGGAAGAAGGCTGATGTCACCCCCATCTACAAGACAGGCTTAAGGAGGTTCCAGGAAATTATAGGCCCATCAGTCTTACCTCAGTCCCTGGGAAAGTTATGGAAGGAATCCTCCTGGGGGCTATCACAAGTCAAATGAAGCGCATGACTGGGAGAAGCCAGCACGGCTTCACCAAGGGCAAATCGTGCTTGAGAAACCTGCTCGCCTTCTACGACAAAGTAACCTGCTCGGTTGATGTGGGGTGAGCGGTGGACGTTGTCTACCTGGCTTTCTCCAAGGCTTTTGAAATGGCTTCCCACAGCCTCCTCTTAGAGAAACTGAGGTGTGCTGAGAATGGTTGGACCAGATGATCGTTGAGGTCCCTTCCAACCTGGTATTCTACGAAGTCTTGGTGTGAAGACAAGTGCTTGATTTAGGAAAAAGGTTAAAAGGAACCTTACCGAGAAATATTTTCAATACTGAAGCTCTGGCTCATCCACAATACTGCACTAATGTCTGGGTGGTTCATTTTCTGTTAAACTCACAAGCTGATATTAAGAGGAAGAGTAAGACCTAGAAAAGACATTGTAATTGTAATAGTAATATGAATATAAATTATATAAACTCTCCCTTTGAACAGTTCAAATACTATTTTGCTTATTTACTGATTTGAACCAGGTTTCGGTAACACTCCTGTAATCCAGGATGTGTTTTCTTCCCTTTCACAGGGCAGAGCACACAGATTGGAAATTAGAAATAAGCTCTCTCTGCACCTCTACGTTCTCACCCGACAGCAGATTCCGAGTTTGGAATATTGCCGTTGCTTCCCAGCACACACACATTCTTCAGATTAAAGACATTTGAGGACTTGCAATTTTTTTTTGCCTTGGATCTATTAACCAAGCATTTAATGGTTATTGTAGAATACAAAATAGGAGAACAGAAAATAATTATTTTTTCTCCAGTGGTACCTTTAATATTTTGTACAACATATACAATCCATTGCTTTAGTATTAAAAAAAAAAATGATATGCTAATGAATCAGTGCTGCTTTAAAGAGATCTTTGCAAAGTAGTTAATGTATTTGCCAGACCTCTGTGTTTTATAAACCAATATATCATTTCAAAAAAGAGTTTTCCTTCAAAATATTATTAGGCAGAAAAAAGAAAGGCTGTAAAACATTTTTTTACAAATATATACAACACTGTAGAAAATGGCGTGAGACCTTTTAAATCTTCAAAATATCTCCAGCAAATTACATTTCTAAGAAATTATATTCTAATCATTTATGTAAACTCAAGGAAATAGTATTTAAAGAGGTATTTTTAAAGCCTGTAGAAGTAATCCAATTTTAAAAAGAACAGGATGCTACAGATAAAATGAACAGGAAATCGGTGCATAAATTATCTTTTTTTTTAATAATATACTATGTACACTTCAAGCATGACATTCCAAGGCAGATCAATGTGAAATGCTGCTGCAGAGTAAAGCATCAGGATGGAAGTATAAGATTTAAAACAAGCAAACAAAAAAACCCAAAGAAAAGAGCAGCAAGCAGCTGACTAATAATGATTTTTTTTTTTTTTCCCCTCTGATATGGAGTATCAGTTGTTTCCTTGTTACACACTGAATTTATAGTAATGGTGCATATACATGTGCTAAGTCAATTATAATTCCATCTATGTAGTATAAAAATACCAATTTAAAATAGTTCTATGTTCAAATATGTTCAACTTGCTGCCTGCTATCCTGAAGTAATCATGTTAGAGAACAAGTGTAACAAAATAGATATCGCAGTGAAATGGGATAGCTTAAGAGAACTGAAATTAGTATTAACTGATTATTGCTATTGAGTTACACAGGACGTACTTCAGACAAAGAAAATGCCCACAACAGACCTTTTAAAATCTGCATTGTGACATGTGAAAACTGTTCAAAATGCACAAAGGTAATACAACGAAAAATATATAAACATCTAAAAAAATATCACGTCTCATTACTAAAACTTGAAAAATGTCAGCAAAGCTTGATTTTAAATAGATGCTCTTACAGTAGGAAATTTTAAATAACCAACACCTGAGGACAACTGACAGTACATAAAAATATGCTTCATTTTTCTTACTATTTATTAAATTATTTGCTGCTATGGAAATACAATGCAACTCACAAGGGATTCACCCATTAGTGCAAATTACCTTCTCTTTTATAATTATTACAAGCATTTAGATGGAAAGACTGCATTAAGCTATTCTTATAAGAATTTGTGGTCATATTCAATCTATTTTGAAACCAGCACAGCCTAAGCAACAAAGTATGTATTTAAGGCACTAGCTATCAGTTTAATAAACAGATTTCCAACTTCCAAAAATGTGTATTGCGAGAACTTTTCACTGCTAATTTTTGTGGGATCAAATAATCAGTAGCCCATTAGAACAACAGTTTTGTGAGTACATATTTAGAAAACTATGGGGGGGACACCACTGATCGTCAAAATTACTCAAGTATTTTATTATTTTCTTTTAAATTCTAAACAGAATTATGATAATCAAAAGTGAGTGGAAAGAGCTTTCAGGTACTGACCTGTTGATACAATGTATGCTGGTTGGAAAATCATCTTAACCAAAAACCATAATGGAATTGTACGACATACTATTTAAATGACCAAAAGGAGCCTAAGAATCAAAATGGTTCTTTTAAATTAGTAAGAGTGCAGCAATCCTGCATAAGCAATGAAAAATGACACTCCTTGCTTCAGTAAGCTTCAAAGTTGACTTAGATTCATGTGGTCTAAATTACAAAAGCTATTTTTTATGTAGTATATTTGCCACGCTGAGTTGTGTGGGTTTTTTGGGTTTGTTTTTTTTTTTTTTGTAACCACAGCATTTCTCCAGGGACAAAACTATGGATGTGTAACCAAAATCCTTTATATTTAAATGCATTAGCTTAATGCATGTAATATGCACAAAACAGTTTTCATGTACATACTGAATGTGTATGCTGTCTTCCAGGCTGACACAATATATCTTTGAAGAGTTGAACACACGCATAATTCTTTATATTCTAAAACCCTCTGGGCAAACTGTCTTCTAGAGAAGAAAAAAAACCCGAAGAAATTAGGAAAGCTACTCTATACTGGTTTACAAAAAAAAAAAAATCAAGTACCTGTGGATTTTTCTCTTCTGTTTTTGTATTTTATTTAAAACTTTTTAAATAACACTATAAGTTATAAAATATTTGACTTCACATTAAAGAATGTTACAAATAGTGCCAATGTAACAGCTATAACTTCCATTCAGTCTTTCACAGAAGACTGCTGGGCTGTCACCGTTGCTGTTTATAGGGTGTGCTAAAGTTCATCGTGCTTAAGACCTGTAACCAAAGGAAAAAAAAAAATCAGAAAAAACAATTATATAAAGACATAATGACTAGTTTTGTAAAATGTGGAGAAAACCCTTTACTTTCTATTTACTGCTAGTCAGTCAGTTCAGCAACATGAACTTAATTTTTAGAGCCTCGCTAAATGTTGACCATAAGCTTTCTCAATGGAGAAAAACTACTAAGAATTCTTTATAATGAAAAGTGAATATATTCCCTGACTCAAGTCTTTTAAATATTTATCTGCTAAGTTTTTTCTTCCACGTTGAGAGCTGAGACCACCTTTTTTTGTTTCACATTACTCCAAGAAGTCAAGTCTTACTGGAAGTCCTATAGGAGTGGGGTTTTTTCCTCATGCTATTTAACTCAGTTTAAAACAATTTTAGTAAAAAAATAAACCAAAATCTATTTATAAACTAAAACACCATTTATATTGTCATTTCTTTTTTTTCCCCTAGGTACAATATATATTACCAAGCATGGCTGTAGTACAGTTACAAAAGCTGCCTGCCATATCCTGCTGTATGATCACGTTTTCCATTCTAACTTTGCCAGTCCTTAATAATAATTGTTTTCATGGCAGCTGTCTGCTACGTCAAATATATTTTAGTGTCTTCTGACGCCATGAGTTAGGAAAAAATACACCTGTTTGTCCGTGACAGCGTTCTGTTCATTTCTAATTTGGGAAGTTGTAGTGTTCCCATGTGTTGCGGCAAAAATTTGAAGTGACGCACATATGCCTGTTGCTATGCAATACCAGATTAGAAAAGAGCAGCTCAGGAGACCTCCCAGGACATCCTACCTCCATTTCCCAGTGACTCCAGTCTAGAAAGACCCCCAGTTTCTCTCTTCTCAGTTCCCCTCCCTTCTGGCCTGGGCAAGGCTGAGAAGAAAGCTGCCAACATCTACCTGGGATTCGGTAGCTGTTGGGCGGAGCGTGCAGGGACACAGAGCTATGGGAAAGGAAACGGGACCGGAGACCGAGACTGGTGGGGAAACCTGTAAACTACAGTCTGAAGGCAGAGAACGCAGCATGGAAATTTCTAGAGAGAAAGAAGGGGAGCACAAGTAGCCAGGCGCAGAGACCACGGCTGCAAATCCGGGCAGTACGGAGAAAGTGACGGAGACCGTTCTGCTCAGCCAGGTGCGAAAAGGCCCCGCGTAGGTAAGCCCAGCGAGGGATGCCGAGACAAGCAGCACTTGCCGAACTGGCAGATTTCAGCTATACCATTTATCTTGATGGTTCACAGTGGTCGGCAGTTCTTAGTTTTGGAGGGAAGGAGGTTTTTTTACCTTACTCGGGGTATTATGTGCAGCTTTCCCCCCACCCCCCCTTTCATTTAAAAAAAAAAAAAAAATCTCATACTTTGTACTTTGAATATGCACTGGCTCTATAGGATGAAGAATTTAGACGAGCAATGTAAAAGAAAAAAATTCATGCTAGAAAATTAAACAAGTGGCTTTCAAGGAAATTTCAAGCTGAAAAGGTAAGTAAGAAAAGATCAGTAAGGGATACCTTACTACTGAATTAATATAGGTGATTGACACTGAGGACTCAAATTCTTGAAAAAGTTTTTGTGAACTAATGAATTAATAGGGACTCAGTAACCTACTGCTTAACAGACTACACTGAATTAAAAGGCTTAAGCTTTAGATTCTCTAAGTAAGGTCTAAGCTAATGTACTTTATTGTGGCTTAAATCATGTGGAAGGGTTGTGTTTGAACTCTAAGACTGGGACACTGCTAGCAGTTTTCTTGTAGATTTTGGCATGAAACAAAAGATTTTATCCTCTTAGTGTAACTTCTATGTAAAGAAGCATCATGCAACTCTTAAAACCCACATGATTTCTCTAAGAGCAGGGAAAATTACACAAATACAATATTTGTGCCTAGTGACCCCAATCTTAATTTCAACCACATGAATATTTATTTTAAAGAGTTAACAGATGAATACGCATGTAAACTACCTTTTTGAAAGAACGATGTTAGATTTTTCGTCTCTTTTTCAATTTGCTGTATTAATGTTCGTATCTCGGAGTCATAGTCAACCCATTCGGGAACTATCCGGGCAGCAGCCTTTAATTTTGGTTCTTTGGTTTGGGGATTGTTACACTGAAAGTTTAAAACATACTAGATGTAAACAAAGTAAATGTGAAAATATCACCTCTTCAAGGAACTTGAAGTGATTCCCCCCTCAACGTCACTAGCAACAAGCAGAACACCAAACGTATTGTTAAAAACTAGCTATGTAGTCATATGTTGACCAGGACAATAATCTGAATGTTTCAAAATGGTCTACAATTATTTCAAAGTGAAAAATAACATCAGACAGAAACTATCAACAGCAAATCATGAATCTTGACAAGGAGTTTAGAGAAGTATAGTAAAAAGTCATTTACGCAAAAATAACAACTTAGTATTTTGCAGAGAACTGCTATTTACCATCGATACTAGTCACTGTACCAGTTTAAATACCCGGCTAAAATTCTCATATTTTACAAACGGGGCCATCTTTCACCAGCTTACAGAAATATTTCCACTCCCCAACATATTTCTTTGCTCTAAATTATTTCATACCTAAAATAATTTTGTCAGTATTTAGAGTTTCATTGAAGGACAGCGTGCAAGGTCATTTATCTTGATAGTAATTAAAAAAAAAATTGTAACTAAAACCTGTTTGTATTAATTAAAACATTTTATTGTAAATACCTGTATTTTCTCCTGATTATATGGATAGCAGAGACATAGCTAGCACAAAACTACTAATATTTAGTCAAAGTTACACAGGGAGCTATAAGATATACATTAGCACATTGAAATTAAATCTGGTATGTTTTTTATTAAGCTTGTGATGCTTCCTCTAGCGTTGTCTAGAAAATGTATTGATTAATTCCATAAAAAAAGTGCAAATCATAATAAAAAGTGATACATGATAATGGGGATTGAAAGAAAGTCTAGTAACTTAATTTCAATCTTTCCTGATAGAGAGTACCCATGTTTAGTTCACAAAAAAGCTTATTTTAACAACTGTAAAGACACAAAGAAAACAAAACTATTTACATAATGAATATTCGCACCAGATTCCAATTGTCTGTTTTTCTTCAGAATTATGGCTCTGAAGTATCACTCACACTGCATGGGGGTTGTCAAAAAATGAGGATGGGGGTAATAATGACAGAGAAGAACATTTTCTCTCTCTGTTTCAATTCCCACAGACAGACGTTTTCTTCTTTCTAGATGTGGATAGTCTCCTCAGCATTATGCCTTTTAAGCTCTGCTTTATCTCCAGGTTATAGTGGTGAAACGGACAGAGGAAACCACGATAATATTAATCCCCTACACAGCGGGTTCTGGAGGAACCCGCTTTGTAGGGAGTGCAACAGCAGCACACAATACCCAGTTAGTAGTACTTCGTTAGAGGGCCACTAACCGGGCTGAACATGGAAAAAAGATAAGGAAAATATACATGCAGGTGTGAAAAACCCTGATCCTATCCAGTTAGAGATAGCAACATTTAATTTTCAGGTACAGTTTTCAGCTTCAACATAAGCCAATTTGGTACAGAGAAGCGGGAGAGGTCTCAGAGGAAAGGAGAAAAGTTGCTGTAGTTAACGGGAGTAGCGTTCCAGTGCCTTCCAGCAAGGCTGCCTCCATGACATCATATATGCGTACGTCAAAAGCCACAGAAATTATAGCATATAACCCTATAAAACTAACGTGACTCAAAATCAACTCACCAAGTCTATCGTTTTAGCCTTTTTCTTGGATTCATCATCACACCAGGTTTCACACCAAAGCCATTCCTGAGGGAGAGACTTAATAGCTACTTGGTGAATCATATTATTGGGAAGATCCTGTACAAATTTTGTAAAATAATAAATTAGCATTGAATTTAATGTAACTGGTTGTCAGGCAACTACTTAAAAGTAGAATATCTTAGCCTATTACCATTTCTGCAAATTGTCCTTACGTTTCCTGTTACGTACTCACCTAGTTCTTTCTCAAGTAGATTCAAAACTTAGTCATGGTCATTTTGATGGCCAATTCCACCTCTCATTTCTCAAGCAGTTTTTTATTGTTCTTGTGTCTTTCCTTCCTTAGCTTCACATAAGCAATACTTATGGTTTGGATACTGCATGTCATACTACAAATACTACTGGGCAGAATTAGACTGTGTGAAATTATTAAAGCAAAACTTAACCATCTTTCCATTCCTGAGATTTGGAAAAAAAGCTCAAAAGCATATAATCTAGGATTACGCCACTACTCTAAATTTAGCCGCCTTCTAGGAAAATGGATTCCAGAAACATAGGCATGAAAAGGAAAAGCTATTAAACTGCTATTCTGGCTATCTTCCTTACTTCACTTAAAATTTCTTTTACTCTCATCATGAAAACTCGGAATCAATATCTTGCTGAACGTAGCGAATAGCATTTACAAATAAGAAAAACCTCAGGTGGTCATACACTGCATGTACTCTGGCCATAGTTAAAAATAACAGGTGTCATTGGTAGATCCATTCATAAGCTCCTTCACACGTGCAACCCCTACATTATATTTAAAAAATAAACGTCAGTACTCAAATAAGTATTAGTCACATCTTATTTTGCCAATTCACGTTGCTAAATGTGACAGCATAAGATAGCACATCTAGCTGCATTATGAAAGGCATATGATTTAATTCAAATATAGACATTAGTACAGGAAAATATCATCAAATATAAGTATACTGGGAGTCAAGACATTCAGCATTAATTTAACTGCTTTATTTTTTGAAAAACTTCAATTCTATGAATTTTTGGAATATAAAATAAATGGTTTATCACCATCTCAATTTCAAGAGAAAAAAGAGATTGGTATTCTGTTATGCCTCTCTGACTTTCTAAACGAAATCACAATTCCCAAGTTACTACGGTAACTCTCAAAGTTATGAGTTTACAAATTGTTATATGGAGTAGAAAGACAGCTGCTAGCTAGCTCCAGGATTTAAAGTAAATAGAAGAAAATTTAAAAAAAAAAACCCAAAACAAAAACCTAACCAAAAAGTTGCTTGTCTTCTCAGAAGGAAGTGATTTATCCTCAAAACCACTAAAATACATCTGGAAGATCGGAGAGGAAATACTCACGAATCAGAAAAATAAATGAACAAGAACAGATCATTTTTACTGTCAGTGGCAACATTCTTGTTCACTCGAAATACGTAAACTGCTGAAATGAAAGTCTTCGACTTTCACAAACAACATTTAAAAGTTATTCTTCAATTTGATTTACAATACGACTGTTTTCACATTTAGTCATATAACCTACACAATTTTAAAGGGGGACTCAACTACAGCAGCATCTTTATTAGAAAATCAAACCTCAAGTAAAAATACAGAAACATTTCTTCTTAATAAGAGATTTTACTCTTACATTCCTTTCGGCTGATTTTATTCTTTAAGTAAAAGGTGGTTAATTACCTAGTTTTTAACAAATTGGTATTAGTATAAATATTGGTATTTGTGTATGAATTTGTTTTGTCATCTTTATATAGACATTTTCATGCTTCTCTTTAAAAAGAACTATTAAATAGGCTGTACTGGAAATCTAGTTCCTATCATGTATAATTTTTCTCCCTAGGAGTTCTTTACTTACTATTCTTGGCATTTAAAATTACCTTTTTTTCCACACTATCTTACTTCTATTTTGCGGTTTATATTAGCATAACCTTAACTACCACCCATGAAGGCAGCAGTGCTGGCAGATTAGCAAGTGCTGAGATTGCTGCTTCTTTGAGAAGGGCAGTGAGCACTCCAGCCAGATATTTAAAATAAAAAGAAAAAAAAATTATCATCATGCATCTGTATCAGTAGACAAAAGCTCTCCAGGACTCTTGTAAAATATCACACTGCGGTTCCTATTTCTAGGAATGATGCTGGATTTGGCGCAAGTAGTAGCGATGAAGACGAAGTGATTCCTATCAATACAGTCAGAAAGCAGATTCCTATGAAAAATTTTACTTTGAAATATTTCCCTTTCCAAACTAATTCCAATTCCATTCTGCCAAGATTTAGCTACCTTCATGTATGCTCTCAGCACTCATGTGCTGAGGGAAGGGTAGCTGATACTTAAGTGGCTTTTGATTTGATCCAACAGATTTAGAAGAGATATACACTATGAACTATTAATGCTGTCGTTGAAAATATATGAATCTCAAAATCAAAAGATGCATATTATTAGTATTTTGAGAACATTAGATAAAACTAATGACTACTTCTGAGAAGCAGCGTTGTGGTGGAAGCCCTGTAACCAGCTGCTGAATCTTGAAGATCTTTCTGAAAGAAACCTTGTATCTATGGCTAAGACTATGTTTGAAAAACACAGCTAATCACATCAGAGCTCTAAGTGTGCGATACAGGGCCAATAATTCATTCTGTTGTCCAGAAAAGAGAGGTAAAAATCTGACTATTGCTGTTATATCAGTCTTTTGCTCTTAACAGTCATAGTTTAAGGCCTCTCAACTCCTTGTGTCCAGTCTAGTTTGAGTTCGTAGTGTGGCTGTATTTCCACTTTTCTTTGTCCAGTATCGTAAGAACTGCTATCTTCAATTTTTAATTTTATTTCTGGAAAAAGTGCAAGTGGCAGTAATGTGTTTAGGTAGGGGGGAGAGAGAGAGAAACTCGCTTGCAGAGTAGGTGGAATGCAGGCATGGAGAGATGTGGGCTTTGCTACTCTAGGATCCCTTTACTGCTGTAGGTACAAACCTTTTGTGCTTTAGTAATTCCACAAAGAAAATTATAAAGGCAGGGACAATCTCACTTATTAAGCCTTCTGAACTTCACCCAAAGAGAGACATGAATAAAATTATTATTTACTTGGGCAGGAATTGGATGAGCTGTATTATCAATCTTCTGCTGAGTTAAAGAGACTCTACTACAGAAGAAAATAATAAATTTTAGTATGTTCTGTACATCTGGGATCTACTCACATGCTTGTGATTTGCACCCCTTAAATAAGAATACAATTACTATTATCAGAATGTAAGATTAGCATTAGAAAAACACAAATGTACATAGAACACCTACAAATAAAGGACAGCAGCGCAATACATTTGTCCTCTGTGCTGTTTTTTCCTCTTTTTCCATACTAAACAATTATTTAAAGTAATAATTATTTGGTTTTCTGAACTGTGCTCATATGCACACCTAAGAATTTGCTAGAACATCAGTAAAGGGCAAATAGTTTCAGATTGACGTGACATATATAGAGAGATACAAAATGATTCCATGTATATTAAAAAAGATAAAGAAAATAAAACCTACATTGCTTAAACCCATATATACCTGATCTAGATTTGACAGACTGTTTGGATCTTGACTAAGAGCCTGGTACTGGCCCCGAAGCCTATCTCCTGCTGCAATCCTTCTGAACTTCTTAAGATCCACAACATATAAGGCACTACAAAGATAAAAAAATTAATTAAGATTTGTGGAGTTTCACCTTCTTTTGGCAACAGTAATAAAAGTAACAAGAAACCAAAAAGTGTTCCCATCCTAAAGGAATATTTTTTTAATTAAGTAGCTGAAGCTACACTAAAAAAAAGTGAAGTCAGTATGTCATCAGCATTCATGTCTTATTCATCTCTTGCTCAGAATGACTATAAGACAATTGCTTTTGAGCAATTTTGAATGCCTCAGTGATCAATACCAAGACAATTTTAATCAAATTCACACACTCCACAGAAATATGTAAGGTGTTATCCTACCTAATATGGTACTTCCTTTTCCCAAGATGTGATGCCCAGTATCCTGACTTCCAGAAACGGTATCCATCCATTTCTTTACGGCTGTCACAGAAAGGTGTGTATCCATAGGGAGCTCCATTTAGATCTAGGTCTTGGAGTTCTTTTAGGTCACTTCTCACAATCTAAGTAACAATAAAAATATATTTAGTTCTATAATTTAATACCGTTTTTAAGGTGTGCATATGAAGGTAGTTATGGCAGCAAGCTTCCCAAGTTTAATTTTAATTTTTAAAAAGAACGGAGACACTACAACAGTGGAGTATAGATAAAGTATTCCACTGGAATGCCATTTACCAAATTATTGTTCTAGAAAAAAAAAAATGTGTGCTTATTCTGTGGCCATCTGTGGAACACATTTAATAAGTAAATTAAATAAAACAAGCCAAGTATTTTTAATTTATAGACCAGTGTTTCTGGCTGCCCAGTATTAAACTCCTTCATGCAAGAATATAACTTTCAAAATTTACTGAGCATCTCCCTTCTAAAAAATCCTTCCTATTTGTTACATTAGTTTGGGCACTCCAAAATTAATGCATCATTTGAAAAATCTTTGGATCTAGTAATAATGTACTTTTAAAAATAGGTTATAAGGACTTTTTACAAATACCCTTTATTTACTAATCAATCATTCTTCCATCAAACCCCACTAATCTAATTTATCAGTGGTAAAAAAGTTTTAGCTGTTTCAAAGTACAGAGGAATCCTTAGAGTAGTTAGGACAGACAACCAGTACTACTACTGTGTCCAGACAAAATTGCTGAAAGTTGCACTCTGCATTGCTACATCTAAATTTAATTTATTCTCAAGCTTCAGAAAAGGACCAAGATACGTCATATTTGTTCTGAGGTTTTTAATAATCATGTGATAGGCTCCTCAATGTCTTGTCTGTTTGAGACAGCATGTTACCTTTCAGTGTATTACACGATATTCATTTCTGAGTGAAAGAATGCATACAAATTTAAGAAAAACAGAGACAAGATTAATCTTGAAAAAATTCAGCCATCTAGAAGTTGTTCAAGTGGTCTAAACTGATCACTGCGGACCCCCTCCCATAGTGAGTGGAGAAGTCCTCTCACAATCAGCCCAGAGACTGAATCACTCGAATATGCCTTAGGTGAAATGCACCTTTAAGATCACACATAGCTCGCCAGGTGCCTTTCGCTCTCCGCAGGCAATTTAGGGCAACTCACTGTAGTGAGACATTTAATTTCTACATGACTAAAGACAAGTGAAATGGAAGTGTTCAAAAAACAGGTAGATGTGGCACTTGAGGACATGGTTTAGTCTAGTCTACCCTTAATTGTTTTAGTGTGGAATTGGTAATGTTAGGTTAATGGTTGGACTGGATGATCTTAAAGGTCTTTTCCAACCTAAACGATTCTATGATTCTGTGATGGCATTTCACATTCTGCAACACCACTGATTCTGTTCGTAGAACCACAATAGGCTTACGAGACCAACATCTGAATAAAATGGCCACAGAGAATGAAACTGGATCAATTCAAGCCAAAATGAATTCCTCATACATTTTTACAGCATTATTTTTTCTTACCTGATCAGCATCAACAAATATTATTTTATCCACAGCCAAAGGGAAAAGAACATCCAAGAAAAGAATTTTGTAGCCCCAGATAATTCTTTGTTTTTCTGTCTGTTGATAAAGCCAGCGGGGCCACTTATACTGTACTAACTCATACTTGAAACCATACTTTTTAGCCATGTGAGGAATAACATCCTAGAAGAATGAAAAAAACTATTAGTTGCACATGTATGTGACACACAAGGACTCAGAAGGAAAAAGAGGGAATGTTGAAACAGTTGCAGATGTGTTGGCCTTATTGACTACATAAATTATTATTTTAAAATGTTTCTTTAGTTCTAGCAGTATCCTTAACTATGTAAATATAAAAAGCATGTCTTTCAAGCTCTTGGAGACTATCAGAAGAGAACAAATTATTGCATTATATAACTGGGCTTTGGGTTCCAAAAAAAAAAAAAAAAAAAAAAGAACTTTACACATAAGACTTTTAAAACTATTGGTATTCAATGCATTCCGAGATCATTTCCAACAGTGAAAATTTAATTTGAATTATATTACTATTCAATTGTAATTTTTTAAAAAAAGCTACTTAAATTTTTTAAGAAAAAGTAATAAAATTAAGACATTTCTCCTACCTTAAATGTTGGGGAGAGATAGTTCTTCAGAAACCAAAATTTAACTGGTGTTTTTGTATGACGTAGGACAGAAAGCATCATAATTCTGTGGAAATAGAAGTCTATAATAAACAAACGAATACACACAGGTCATTAAATTTCAAATGCACCTAAAAGGTGCTAAAACTTTCCAAGTATAATTTTCTTCAACCCAGTGTAAGCAGAAATTTCTTTTTCTAATTAAAAGCTTTAAAGAGCATGTGTTCAAGACTGCTTTGAGACTGATTTATTCAATCCAGATCAGCTAAGCAATATTAGAAGGAACAATTTGAAAAGTGGATCTGTTAACAAGTTTTATTCTAAAAGAGAGGTGCCTGACAAAATTAGAATAACGATTAATACCTTATTAATTAATACCTACTGAGATAACTTATTTTAGAAATATATTCTTTGAGTTTAATAGGTTCTGAAATGAAAAACAGTGCAGGAGAGAAAGCATAGTTCAAGTTAAGATCTTCTTCAGAAAACCCTTGATAACTGTAAAATTCGCTGGTTTTATGTTCAATTTTTTTTCACTCTTGCGGTATTTGTTCAGTGTAACCAGACAGAAAAGCAATGCCTTACAAGAAGTCAAGTCTGTCTTAAAATTAATTTTTGTTTCTTTCAAAATAAACAAGTCTTTCTCTTTATGAAGGTTGTTGTAGGTTACTGTAAGATACTGTAAGAATTCCTTCAAAGTAATCATTGCTTACTGAATGAACACTGAGGTGAGCAGAATCATAGAATCATAGAATTGTTTAGGTTGGAAAAGACCTTTAAGATCATCCAGTCCCACCATTAACCTAACACTACCAAGTCCACCACTAAACCAATTAAGGGTAGAGTAATAATTTCATGTTTCCTGGCTTGGTGGCTGGATTATTTTTTAGTGAAAGTAAAAACTAGGAATCATTTAGGTTGGAAAGAATCTCCAAGATCATCAGTCCAATCATCAACCCAACACCACCACGCCCACTGAACCATGTCCCAAGGTGCCACATCTGCCCGTTTTTTGAACGCTTCCAGGGATGGTGACTCCACCACCTCTCTGGGCAGCCTGTTCCAATGCTTGACTACTCTTTCCGTGAAGAAATTTTTCCTAATATCCAGTCTAAACCTTCCCTGACACAGCTTGAGGCCATTTCCTCTCATCCTATCGCTAACTACGTGGGAGAAGAGCCCAACACCCACCTCACTACAACCTCCTTTCAGGTAGTTGTAGAGAGCGATAAGGTCTCCCCTCAGCCTCCTCTTCTCCAGGCTAAACAACCCCAGTAGGGCCATACGTGCATATAGCAGTATCTGGAGTTTTGACTACATATAAATAGATACAACTCTAATGATGTCACTGCTGTTATGTCTTTATAAAGAGAGGCTGAACTTCATCCTTTATGTTCACACTTCACACATTCACTTGTGAAGGACATGGAGAACATTTTTCTTTCTTCGAAGAATAATGGCATTTTTAAACATCTATATGTTAAATCACTTTGTTCTTAAATAAAGATTAATTTGGTCCTCACTGTATACAACTTTTCTATGTTCTAACAGTTTATTCTTTACACCTTGTTAAAAAAGTCAGTTTCTTTAAGCTGCTTAATTTTAAGATGAATGTTTACAGTCCCGCTACAAAATTCTCGTTCCCCTTTTACCTTTCCTTACCTTAAAAAACGTTCATATAAATGGCCTGAAGCAACTGAAAAAATGTTAAGAATATCACTTTTCTTTTCCTTCTCTTCTGTTGGAATTTCTTCTGAAAATCTAAGAAAAAAACCCCCAAATTATTATATAAAAATACTACTACATTACCATGGAGCTCGCAAATAATTGGAAGTAAGAAAATACATAAAAGAAATACTCATCCTACAGTAACTGAAAACACATATTCTACTCCCACTGCACATGCCTGTGATACCAAAACCCTTTGGGAACAACACCTCATACCCAGTCACTCAGGACTGATGATGGCACAACTGCAGTCTCCAATATTTTCAACCAAACAGAACCCAAATTTGGCAAGAACTCTGTGCATTATCAGACATATGCACAGCCAAAATATCTTGAGAATTGTTTTTTTTTAAAATCAGTAACAGTTATTTTTTAAGCTATACCCACGTGCATTCTACATCACAAGAACCAATGCATATTCTTGAGGTCTGCGTAGCCCCATAGGTGGTTGAGTTGAACGTATACTCTAAAATACAGACTGAACATAACATAAAGATGGCCCCACCAGGCCAAACTACATTATTTAGCCCACTACCTTACCAACAGCAAATGACAAGGCCAAGGAGTGGTAGCCTTTCGCAGAATACTCCCATAACATTCAATGGTCCATGGTGATGGGATTTCCCAAGTGTTTTTCACAATGCTTGCCAAATTCTTCCTTAAATTCATCTGATTACTCTCCCCATAAGCCACCCTAGATCTTTGAGGTACATTGTCAAGAGGTTTTCTGTTTCTGCTACACAGCATTCTTTACTTGCCTTGAATACCAGTGTCTACCAGGATTGGGTTTTTTTAATCATGTATGGCTTCCAGAACAAACAGCTAGGGGATGGTGGCTGCAGCCTCCCTCAGAGCACTGTTTCGCAGATGTCATAACTGCAAAGGCTGCCTTAGCCAAATTGGTTACAGTAAGGCATGATATTGTTGGAGATTCACCTCAATAGTGGGGTTTTTTTTGAGGTGAGTCACTCCTCACACACTTGGATTGTGTGAGTCACTCCTATTAATTTTTCTTCTAGTTAGATCCCTTTTAAAAGTATACTTTAAAAAGTATAAAAATAAGTATCCCTCATAATCTTTAAGAACAAATGAGACAAGTCTCACATCACTCCGCTAAGACAAAGCTGAAATCTTAGAAGGCTGCAATGTCTGTAAGTGGTGTGAATAATCTTCTGAGAAACCCACGTTCTTTTCATTCAGCAATGGTAAGAGGAGATTGTGTAGTCCTACCTGACCAGGACTATAGGAAATGCAAAAGAAAGGGACATCACTGGAGCAGCACTGACTGCATGGTGTGACGTCTCTGAAGACAACAACCCCTCAACTAGCACTGGGTTCTCACAGGCTAAATAGACTGCCATTCACAGTCCCAAGCAGTCTTCTGTCTTTCTGACTTTCTGTCCCACTACTTATACTTAGTGATAGCAGGGCTGAGAGAATGTCAAGCTTTTTACAATGCATCCATCACAACATGTGACTACAAAGACAGATGTGAAAAAGAAAATCAGTTTTTGATGACAGGATCTTGAAAATATTGATTATGCAAAGCTTTACAGAAGGCAGAGATCTTCCAAATGGAACAAGCTGCTCTGAAGATGGCTGGGTTAACCTGTGAGGTCACATGGGAAAAGCAGTCAAGTGGAGAAGGCCAGTTCAGTTACAAAAGGACTTGGGCGATGTGGTGTGCACACGTGTTCCATGTCAGAGCCCACAATGATTCCTGTAATGAACAGTGTGCTGGCAGGATTTATTTTTCATTCTGGGATATAAAAGAGGAAGGTTATTTGACAGTTTCCTAGATAGGAAGAAGCGGGCAGACAAATGGCAGGCCTCAAATCATGCCCCTGAGCCATAACCTTGAATCAACGGCAAGAGCAAATAAACTTTATTGGGTGAGAGGCTTCAACAGCCCAGCCAAGCTCTGTACCTGATGCACACTGATGAACCAACCCACTGTGAAAAAAGACTAGACCTAGAAGATCATGAGATCTCTGGCCTTGTAACCTTCTTAGAGGGAGCTAAGATTTTGATCACTGCGCATACATCCTTTCACGCAGCCAATTAGAAGAAGGAAGCTTGAAGACGATGAAAAATTCCTTCAACTAATGTCATTCAGCAAAAGAGGCCACCTTTGTGCAGAAATGTGGGTCCACTTCCCTGACCTGAGGCTTCAGGAAGAAATTTGAGAGTTGAGTATAGTAGTCTGGAAGGCTTCCTGAAGCTAGTCAATACTGTAACAGTAAAATCATCTGTGGATAAATGGTGATAAACATAAAATCAACAACAGAGAGTCAGTAAGGTCTGTCCAGGTACTTGAGATACAAGAGGCCTTTGTCAGGAGAGATGACAAAGCTGAAATAGAAGCCAGCCCTGGATCTACCAAGAAAAGTGTGTGCTGAGGATTAACTGGGGTCAACTGTTTACTAGATGAAGTAGAACTGCTATGCCTTTTCTTTATCTTCAGCAGTCTTTGTGACTGACAACCATTGCCAAGGCTACTGAAAATGGAAGAAAACCTTTTTTGAATCTCACAGCAGTCGTTTGGGGCCAGAAAGGCTTTATGGTGTGGAGAAAATAATGATGAAAAAGCCATTCTACTTAAATCCCTCATACTGACGCTGTTATCCCTTTCTTACTAGCTGAATTATAGTCCAAAGATGTTCTCCTGAACAATGGAGGAATCAGACTTTACCTCGATGGTAAATCTTGAATGCTTAAAGGTACTTATGGACAAAGCTACTGCAATTTCTGTTTTCTTTCAGGGCAAAGAGATCTATGATTGCTTGGATTAACTTGTTTACACAGTAAGTCATTAGCCCTGAATTGGTTATTTCAGAAGGCATTACCTTCAGTTCTTTGCCTTTGCAATTATACAGCCATGACAGCTTCGTAGCATACTGCAGAAACAACATGTGCTGGTAATCAGATGTTCCGAGAGCAAACATGAGCGTTTCCTACAAAGTGGATGGAGTCCAGTATGGAAACAATGTATTACAAATTAAGTCCCCCCCACAACAGCCTTGAAGATCCAGAAGAGGAATTATCATCACCTTGAAAGAGTGAATGAATCTGTGTTGCCAGCATTCAAGATTAAAGACCCAAGCTCATTCTTCTTTGACATTAAGCAATATTGAGAACAAGTAACTCATCAAATCATTGGGAATTCAGTAAGTACTTTTGCCAGCACCCCAATTTTCACACTTGAGAACATTGGGTTTTTGAGATGTTTCTTGTGAAAAAGGTCTCTGAGAAAAAGGTCTCTGAAGTGTTACAAGGAAAGAATGCTCAGAGAGCATCCAGGCCACTGTTTCTAAAACACGTTGGTCAAAGGTCATCTGATTGAAATGCTCTTGAAAGGACAATTAACATGTCTTGGAAAATGATACAAAACCCCATGTTCTGATCCACAGCACAGATATACTAGTCTATTAAAAAAAAAAAACCACCTAAAATTCTTTTTCTAAGCACAGATGAAACATCCTTCTTTGCACTTACCTCATTCTCAAAAATGACAGAACACTTTCATAGGAATTTGTATCTTAATAATAAAAACTAAATTTAAATTAAAAAAAAAAAATCAGCCTGAACCACATACCATCCACAGACAACGTAATTATAAGCAACACTATGAGCAACTGAAAACAAAATTTTACAATAGTATATGGCAAATTACAAATACTACAATGCTATTAGCCCCAAATGTAAAGCTTGAGATATTTATTACAATTATTTATAGAACTCAAACTTTAAAGTAAAAGGTATTTTATTGACAAATACAGAAAAACTTCTTGAGCTTTCAAAAATTATGTCTAGCAGCAAACAAGCAGCATCATAACCTGCTTTTTGATGTTGAGTTTGATACATCTGAGTACCACATTACCGTCTGAGGTTTTCACATTGAGATTGATTCCCTGCCACCACAAAAAAAAAAGTAACGCCAATGGAGAAAACGAACAAAACTAGAAATGCAAAGGAGGGATTAAAAAGTAAATAATGAGATGTACATGACATTATAGCTTGTCTTTTTCCCCTTTTTATTTACATTATAAATCCCTTTGGGAGCCTTTTTACATATGTGTATCACTATCAACTAAGAAACACTTATGCTATGAGCAATAACAAACATGTCCTGGCACAGTTAAAGTATAAGCAAATTATGCATTACCTTGTAACTGATTCCCGATTTCCTTTTTTTCCTGTTCCATCAGTAAGGAGATCTTCATTCATTTTATCAGGCTTTTTCTGTACCTAGTCATTAAAATAAATGTATTTGTCTAATTTGGGAAGTTAGTTGATAGTAATTACTACTTCAATTGTATTATCTAACTATGGTGTACTTACTGGCTAGAGCTGGACCATCTTACCAATTTCTATTTCAGTAAAATGCTTACTGAACTGCATTAAACTGAACAGTGAAAACGTCATTTCATACTTTTAAACTATGTACAGAACTTACTGTAATAAGAAGAAAAGTAATCAATTATGAAAAATTAAATGGTGATTAATAAACCAAACAGTATGTTCAAGCCCTCTCCACTTCTTTATGCAAACAATAACTACAAGTGTGGGGAATCGCATCTCATTTTCCTCCCTCCTGAGTCTGTGGTCCAGCCATTAGCTAGCAGAAGAAGGGTAGCGGGGTATCACACCATGCATGGAACTTACCTGAAGGGAAACTGTGATTCTCATAAGCCCTTCACATGGAGAATGAAACAAATCTGTTGCTGAAACATAAGCTCTCCTGTCCAACTTAAGCAATTTCTGCTTACCCAGATACTTAATAAAGGCTCCAAAGTAATTTTGTTTGCTGACCTTAATTTCCTTGATTAAAAGAAACCTAACTGGTTTTGAAACCCAAATAGCTTCTAAAACACTAAATATTTGAACATATTCAATTCTAACCCTATTAATTTCACATGTTTATACTGTCAAGCTAATGCTTACAGATTTCTGTTCACCCTAAATCATGCGTCTTTTTAGCTGACACTTCTGAAGCCACATCCTAGGTATCACTGAAGTGATTCTACGGTTCAACTAAATGACAGAGCTTACATATTCTAGTTATAAGCTTAACACGCGCCACCTTTCACATAGAATAATTTTCCTATTTTGACCCAAATGGCACCCTTTTACCCTTCCTCTGTGGTTTAAAGGTAGGCTCATCACACTCCAGAGAGTTAGACATTTTCTCCAGGTTCTGGAAACTTTGAGTTACAGGACTGGGGAAGAGACTCATATATGTGGTTTTACAAAATCCTTTTGGACTTATGTTGACATCATTCTCTCTCTTTCTCAATGTCAAAAATGAGGATATGATGTACCAAGTACACCTACACAAAATGTTATTTACAAAATAGTGGAAACCATATAAAAATACGAGGTTCTTTCTCCTTAATGTAAGTCATGTTTCATTATCTCTTTTTGATACATCTTTAAGAATGTAAGTAATGCAATTTCATTTACACAAATTTGGTAGCTTAGGGTAGAATTCAACATACCTAATTTTAACTTCCACTCTGGTATCTGGACATCATGTAAAATCCCTCCCTGGTCACAGGAGAGAACTGGATGTCTCAAGAGGTGGTCACCCCCTGGGTTTAAATACACATGCGAGCTGGGATGAGCAGTTCTTTGGACTGTCTTTCTCATTCTGCTAAGCAGAGAGGGAGTTTAAGGCACCTAGACTACACGCTCAGACACCTTAAGCTAGATGAGGTAAATCCTGTCTGTTATGCACACGGATGTATTATTTTAACAGCTATTTAACAATCTCCTATGCAATTAGTATAACCTGATTGGATCAAATTAACTACATTAATTTGCACACCCTTCTCTATTTAATTATACAAAATCTAAATTATATATTTCAGTATACATCTTCCAATTAAATATAGCCTAAGACATGTAAGCATGAGTCATATTTCATATAAGGAAATACTGCAGACAAAAGAGGCATTTCTTTACATACTTGGACTTTGATAATTTTGCTTCTGAAGTTGTTTAATACCACAGTAACATCTGCCAGGTCAGCTGCTGAATCTGTTCCTTCATGGCTGTGAGGAGAAAAAAAAAACATGCAAATGTACTGGCTCATTAAAACACGCATTATTACTTGTGTTTAATTAGAGTATAAGGTTTAGGATTGATGATATTTATAGAAACAAAATTTCTTCACTTGCATCTAATTATACCTTAACTTCAGAAACTTTCTGAGTTTTATTCATCACTAGACATTGTCCACAGTGGTAGCCCTCACTTTTTAATTTGGATTTTCACAGGATATTCTATCGACCAATGAAAAAATGCAGCAACCTAGAGCTGAATACATTATTATGTATTATACAGGTATATACATGAGCCAGCAGTGTGCCCAGGTGGCCAAGAAGGCCAACAGCATCCTGGCTTGTATCAGGAACGATGTGGCCAGCAGGAGCAGGGAGGTGATTGTCCCCCTGTACTCGGCACTGCTGAGGCCGCACCTGGAATACTGTGTCCAGTTTTGGGCCCCTCACTACAAGAAAGACATTGAGGTGCTGGAGCGTGTTCAGAGAAGGGCAACAAGGCTGGTGAAGGGTCTGGAGCATGGGCCTTATGAGGAGCGGCTGAGGGAACTGGGGTTGTTTAGCCTGGAGAAGAGGAGGCTGAGAGGAGACCTCATCACTCTCTACAACTACCTGAAAGGAGGATGTAGTGAGGTGGGTGTTGGTCTCTTCTCCCAAGTAGCTAGCGATCGGACGAGAGGAAATGGGCTCCAGCTGCCCCAGGGTAGACTGGATATTAGGAAAAATTTCTTCACGGAAAGGGTGGTCAAGCATTGGAAGAGGCTGCCCAGAGAGGTGGTGGAGTCACCATCCCTGGAAGTGTTCAAAAAACGGGTAGACGTGGCACTTTGGGACATGGTTTAGTCTCATCTACCCTTAATTGGTTTAGTGGTGGACTTGGTTTAATGGTTGGACTGGATGATCTTAAAGGTCTTTTCCAACCTAAACAATTCTATGATTCTATATTACATTCAAATACTAAACTACATTTTATTTTTCAAATATGGAAAACATCTTAGAAATTGCTGTGTGAAAGCATTAAACGTACTTTTAAAATAAATCTGCTTTAGGAAGTCTAGGCAAAGCTTCATCACAGTGCTGAGATAGTAAAGATTGGCTTTCAACTGGTTGGCTTTGGCAACTGTACCCCTAAAGACATGGCCGTGCAACATGAACATCTGCCCTACTGAATAGCAGTTTAAAGCCATTCAGGCATCTTGGAACTGTACTGCAGTCCACTGAGTAACAAGTATTAATAATGTTGCTACCATTCTGTGATACAGTGTAATAACATAATTCACAAATATTATAGCTTTTATACCTCAATAGCCCATACGTTTTTCCTTCAATCCTTTCTGTCTTTTAACAGCATTATATGGTTTCCTCTTGCTACAGCTACGCATACAAAAAATTGGTTTGAGAAAGTAATCTGCTACCCCTTAGGCTTGATTTTTTTTCTTTTTTTTTTTTTGCCTAGAAAACAGAAATATTAAAACCTTGTTTCAATCTGTCCTGTATCACTTATCTAAAAGTGACAGGATTTTATATATTTATCTGTATTTTCTATTTAATACATTTCTGTAAAATGTGCCTATCATTACTAAGTTTCACAGAGATGGCTGATTCTGGCACAAAATTGTGTTCAGGATTATCTTGACTATCTATCTATTCTCTGATCTAGTTTCATTTTCACACTTTTAAAATATGGCATTTATGAACACTTGTCCAAGAACTGTCTTTTTATCACAGGGCTGGACAGTACTCAACGTAAAAGGGCACAGATCTCCATTTTAAATAAAGCATGTCATTACAAAGCTCTAAAATAGTAAAACTAGAGCCAAACACAAACTGTTGATGGCAAATATGGCAGCAGCTGGCACAGTGTTCTCATTTTTACCCTCAGTTTTTACACAATCAAAATTTTCTCTGCTATTCACTCAGTTACCTCAAAATCTCTATGTTATGAATTCTGTAGCTAGCTCTGCTGATGAAGATGATTTTCCAAAGTCTTTACAATATTCTCAAAGTGTTTGGTTTGGCTGTAAATTTAATAAGATCACTTTGTCTCCCTAAATCTCCTCCGTGGTTCCCTCACTGCCGGCTCCATCTTTACCAAGTGCCAATTGTTTTACTCTGCACAGCACTCGGTGTGATGAATTTCTGCCCCGGTATGAAAACTGTACTGAAAATAGCGCTAGTTACCATTAGTGACCTTGGACACTTAACGCTGGTTTCAAGATCCAGTCTATCTGGTTTTCCATTCACATCTTTCTATACTTCCTGCTGTTACACTACGGCAACTTCTTTTCCTGATAAAGTACCTCTCTTCATTTCAATTCTCAGCCACCCAACTATGTGCTCAATGGCTACTTATAGACGAGGATATCCACTTGTTTTTAGGTAGGTATCTCTCTGAAAGAAAACAGAGTCCATCACACTGTCCTCTAATTTTAAATCAGTGGGAATCTTACACAGGACCTCTCCTCCTTTCTCCATCTCTATCCATATGATATTCAGCATGTTGTAATTTTATTCACGTAACAGATGCATGTTTCAAATGAGCAATTATGTCAATAAGGTTTTGAATGTGACCTGGGGTTTGGAAGAACTGGGATCATGATTTATAAACTGCCTTAACAAATCCAGTAACGATTTTGTGTTTTGTCCAAAAGGTACTGAATGCTGTTAGTGTAACTTTGTAAACCCACTGAAAGTAGGTGCAACTTCCATTTTAAATCCAAGCAAAATGTCTTGCATACTGACAGCACTACTAAATATTTAACAACAGCTACTTTATTGTTATATAATTGTTGTATGAAACTAAACGTGTCCAGCACACTATTTAGGTCACAGCTTTAAAATGCTTCAAAATACCTACATACTTTTAATATACAAATAAATATAAATATAATATCATTCATAAATTTCCATATGGAGGGAAAAAAGCATTAAAGTTCAACAAATGGAGACTCTTTAAAAACAAACCCCTCCCCTTTGCCCAAATTATAAAAGATACAACTGTCAGTTAAGCAAGCAGTCTGCAAACCATCAAAATGTAATAAATTGTATCTACCTGCCTTTTTAAAAATTACAA